ATTCAGGATGCCGTGGGTCTTGTCCCGACTTCCATCTTTATCAGTTAGAGGCTTCATAGATAGTCAGTATAGTTAAGAAGTCTGTATCATTTATTTTATTAAATGTTTTACAGACTTAAGTTGCCTATATTATGGCGAGTTGAATAATTTATTTTATTCGGAGTTTTGTTTTGAGTTAAAGCTTTCTATTTAAGTTTCATGAATATTTATTCAATTTTTAAGTTGTGTATGCTTGAGTTAGTATTCCGCTTGAAGTCAGCCAGGATGAGGGTTCGCTTGGGGACCAACAATGGTTCTCGAGTGCCGGCCACGTCCAGGGTGTAGGCTCGGGTCGTGACAAGATTATAGCATCAATAACTCACTAAGACACAAAGATTCACCGAATGGATTCTCAAAATTCATTTGGAATTTCGAGCACACAAATCATATATGCTACTCAACTAAACTCAACGTTTCACACCCAATGGAACCATCAAAACACGAATTCGAGATCTTCTTGACCTCAAACTAACTTTCACTCAAACATACCAAATTGCCCTCGAAACCTCTGAAAATTCAACCACACTTAGACCTAAAATCATCCCTCAGATTTAATGGTGTCGTAGGAATTTCGAGTTGATTGTCCAAACTCCGAACAGTGATCAAAGTCATTTCTTGACCTAAATACACTTAAACTTCCAACTCGAGCTCAAATCCACTTGAAGACTTCGAAATTGAAAACGCTAACATTCCTAAATCAAATTATCCGTTCCAAAGCTGATGGCACTAGCTAAATTTCATTCCGAGACTCGTAGTTCTTATTATTGACAAAAATCACTTTTAATAACTTAAAGTCTTCGAAACTCTAAAGCTTCCAAAAAAATCACAATTTTTTAATCTGATTTTTAAACAAAATGTGTAAACTGACTAAACATTGGTCAGGAAAACTATTGAGAGATATAAAACTATATTATTTCAAAAAGGAAAAAGAGTATGATATAAAATGATATTTTACATTTTATTTTATAAAAAATAATTATTTTCTTGGCCTAGGTGGCACGAGTAGGATTCGTGGCCTCTCTCAAGCCTTACTCTTGATGTTTGATTAAAGATAATCCTTAAAAAGTTAAAGCTACATTGAAGATAATCATAGGAAAATCTTGCGATCGAAAAGGGGCCGACGAAAAACATTGTGTCGGTAAATTTGAGTATAGACCACAGAAATATTTGTACTATAGTTTTGGATTGGCATAAATATTTAAGGAAAAAAAAAATCATATTTTGGTTTTTAGGTTTAGCATTGATATTTTTTTCAATTTTTTTTTGGTTTTTAGCTTTGGTGTTAGATGTTTGGATACTATAGTTCAAGATAAGGATAGACATATACATATCGAAAAATCATATTGAATTGAATCAATTCAATTCTTTAGGTTTTAAGTTTGACATTGATTATTTTTTCAATTTTTTTGTTTTATTTCTCAATTGGTAGTAATTAAATCATTGGTGATTTTTTTTTATTGTAGTTCAAGATAAGGATAGGCATAAATATAGAAAAATAAATTGAATTGAATTAATTCTATTCTTTAGCTTTTAGGTTTGGCATTGATGTTTTTTTCAAAAAAAAACTTGGTTTGATTTCTCAATTCATAAGAATTAAATCATTAGTGAAAAAAATTATTGTAGTTCAAGATAAGAATAGGCACAAATATCAAAAAATCAGATTGAATTGAATTAATTTTATTTTTTTTGTTTTTAGGTTCGGCATTGATATTTTCTCAAAAAAAAATTGATTTGATTTCTCAATTCGTAGCTATTAAATCATTAATGAAAATATTTACTATAGTTCAAAATAAGGATAGACATAAATATCGAAAAATCAGGTTGAATTGAACTAATTCAGTTCTTTAATATTTAAGTTCGGCGCCATTGATATTTTTACAAAAAAATTGGTTTGATTTCTCAATTTGTAGCAATTAAATCATTGATGATTTTTTTTTACTGTAGTTCAAGATGAGGATAGGCATAAATAACAAAAAATCATGTTGAAAATTAATCTAATTCTTTAGTTTTTAGGTTCCGCATTGATATTTTTTCAAAATTTTTGGTTTGGTTTGTCAATTCATAGCAATTAAATCATTGATGAAAAAATTTGTTGTAGTTCAAGATAAGGATAGACATAAATATCAAAAAAATCAGGTTGAATTGAATTAATTCATTCATTCTATAGTTTTTAGGTTTGGAATTGATTTTTTTTTTCCAATAATTTTGGTTTGATTTCTCATTCGTAGCAAAAAATTACTGTAGTTTAAGATAAGGATAGATATAAATATTGAAAATCATGTTGAATTGAATTAATCTCTTTAGTTTTTAGGTTCGATATCGATGTTTGTTCAGAAATTGCGGTTTGATTTCTCTTCACAGAATTAAATATATATGAAAAAATAAGTAACAATAGATTTACAATTCAGATATATTAACTCAAAATGTTAATTTTCAAGAGGAACTCATCAAGCTTATTTTTGTCGATGTACGTCATGTAAAGAAATTATCTTCGTCCTTATTGTTCTCAAGCACAATATTCTTAATAAAGACAAATATAATTTTTTAAGCATAATAAGTGTTCCATGATTAGACGCATCCAACTCATCTCTATTTAGAGAGTAAAATAGAGAATAGTGTATACAACCACACTCCGAAAAACCTTCTATTCTCTATTTATAAAAAGGTGAATAGTAGTTTTCTAAATTTTAAAAACTACCATTCAACTTCTCTATTTCACTTTTTAATCATTTTAATATTATTTATATTATCTGATATTTATAACTAACATATTATAAATCATGTTTTTTATTTACTATGAAGTATTTAAAAGTCTTATTTATATTTTTAAATTTTGTGTGTGTCTTCGAAATTTTCTTCTTTCAGACCCCTTAAAAATATTAATTAAATGTATAATTTGACTAAATTATCCTCATTAATATTTTGTTTCCACACGTGCTAACTAAGGAATCTTTATATTTCTCTGCACAAAATATTATTTTAAATAGAAAATACGGGTCTACTTTGAACATGTTCTCCCATGCGCTGCTTTGCAATTATTTAAGAACGATAGTTACGTCTATCCATTATCAACTTATATATGTGATATCATCATAGTACTTTATCCGCTAATTTTTAGCTATTTTGTATTAACTTGCCATATTATTTGAGAAGTAATAAATATAAAAAGCTTTTCTAAAAATTACATAAAATATTATAAGTCACAATTTAAAATATTTGAAAATCACATAAAAAACTTTATTAACTCTCCAAATATCAATTCATAATGTATACGTACGACTAACTAAAAAATAAGTAGTGTAAGAAACAGTAAACCATTTCCTCCAGGTCCAAAATCATGGCCTATAATTGGATGTTTTCCTCAAATCGTCCTAAAAAATAAGCATGCATTAATGCATCGGATACATAAAATTATGGAGGAAATGAATAGGCCACACAAACATCTATACTATAGTTCAGGATATGAATCTACGTAAATATCGAAAAATCAGATTGAATTGATTAATTTTAGTTCTTTAGTTTTTAGGTTGGACATCGATATTTTTTTTGAAAATTTTAATTTGATTTCTTGGTTTGTAGTAATTAAATCATTTATGAAAAAATTATTATAGTTCAAGATAAGAAAAGATATAAATATAAAAAAATCAAGGTTGAATTAAAAAGAAAGTGATTTATAAATAAAAATATATATCATATCAATATATCAATTCATAATGTATACGTACGACTAACTAAAAATAAGTAGTGTAAGAAACAGTAAACCATTTCCTCCAGGTCCAAAATCATGGCCTATAATTGGATGTTTTCCTCAAATCGTCCTAAAAAATAAGCATGCATTAATGCATCGGATACATAAAATTATGGAGGAAATGAATAGGCCACACAAACATCTATACTATAATTCAGGATATGAATCTACGTAAATATCAAAAACTCAGATTGAATTGATTAATTTTAGTTCTTTAGTTTTTAGGTTGGACATCGATATTTTTTTTGAAAATTTTAATTTGATTTCTTGGTTTGTAGCAATTAAAAATACTATAAAAAATCAGGTTGAATTGAAAAGAAATTGATTTGCAATTAAAAATATATATCATATCAACGTATCAATTCATAATGTATACATATGACTAATTAAAAAAGTAAGTTGTGTTACTTGTATAGCTGATTTTGGGTCAATTTTTATATAAATAAAATCTTGAGTAGATTTGATGCAAATAAAATTATTTATTATATATTTATAAAATTATTTCTACAGGAATAGAAAAATAGAACAATTGAGTAGATTGAATATGACAGTACTTTAAGAAAACAAAAAACTAGTAGTCTTAAAGAGGTTGTTTTATTAGAAACAAATTATCTCAAAATTAATTATTTTGGTATGAATTATTTAGAAATAAGTTATCTCATCATATATATAAGATAACTTATTTTATTACTATTACATAAATTGTAGAATAAATAATTTAAAAATTAAAATTATTTAATACTTTCAAATAAATATAAAATAAAATAATTTTACATTTTATCCGAAGATAAAAGAACTCTTGTGATAACTTTCGCATACCATAAATGTACCCTACATTTTCATATTCCCACGTGCTTTATCTTGGAATTTTTTCTTAATTAACTAAATCGCTATTGATCGTCCAAGTTATGACTTTTCTATATAGTTGAAAAGAAAATAATATGTTTTAATTTCGTGGCCTCTCTTATGCCGCATATTATATGTTGTTATGTTAAAAATAAATCATAGGGAGAATTCTCTGTGTCTCAATTTATATGACATACATTTTTTTTAGTCCGTTAAAAAAATGACAACATTTTTCTTAAAGATAGTTTTGAGATATTGCAAGGTTTTCTCATATTTTTTAAATTATATGACATAAATTGAAACGAAAGATGTAGAAGAGCTTACCTTATTAGTTGCATGTCCATGCAGCACCTATAAATAGTGAAAGACATTAGCCTTAACAATCACAAGAGAAAAATGATGAAAATATCGAACATTCTTCTTATTGTTATCTCCAATAACACTACATTCTTCATTATTTCCATTCTATTGACAATCTTCATTTCTTTTATTCTTAAGAAATGGAATAGTAGTGTAAGAAACAATAAACCACTCCCTCCAGGTCCAAAGTCATGGCCTATAATTGGATGTTTTCCTCAAATCATCCTAAAAAATAAGCATGCATTAACTCATCGAATACACAAAATTATGGAGGAAATGAATACTGAAATTGCTTGCATTCGTGTTGGTAATTATCATGTTATTCCTGTAACTTCTCCTGAACTTGCTTGTGAGTTCTTGAAGATTCACGACTCTATTTTCTCATCCAGGCCTATTTGCATGTCCGCGAACCTCGTTAGTAATGGCTACTTGACCTCAATTTTTCTCCCCAGTGGTGATCAATGGATGAAAATGAAAAACATGCTAACTTCCCATGTGTTGTCACCAAAATCATTTCAATGGCTTCGTCCTAAAAGGGACGAAGAAGCTGACCACCTTCATCGATTCGTTTACAATCAATGTAGCAACCAACTTGTTATTAACTTAAGGGAAGTAACAAGATATTATTGTGGGAATGTAATTAGGAATATGATTTTCAGCAAGAGATCATTATTTGGAATTATAGAAGAACAAGAGGAGCAATTTGATGCCCTTTTTACAATTCTTGAATATGTTTATTCTTTTAGTATATCAGATTACTTACCATGGTTAAGTGTTTTTGATTTGGATGGTCACAAGGCAGTTCTCAAGAAAGCCTATGCTAAAGCAACAAAACATATTGATATTGAAGTTGATCTAGTCAAAAAGTGTTGAAATGATTGGTTACAAACAAATAATGTACAGGTACTCATGTTGGCATCAGTGGATAATCCTTCAAATACAGTTGAATGGGCACTTACAGAAATGTTGAATCAACCAAAGTTGATGCAAAAGGCTATAAAAGAACTCAACATTGTTGTTGGGATCAATAGATGGGTTCAAGAATCAGACTTGTCAAGGCTAAATTATGTCAAGGCTTGCATAAAAGAGACCTTTCGACTCCACCCCGCTATAACTTTTAATGTTCCTCATGTGTCTGTCTCTGATACCATCGTCGGTGAAAAGTACTTCATCCCTAAAGGGAGTATAGTGCTATTAAGTCGTCTTGGACTTGGTCGGAATTCTAGAGTGTGGGAGGATCCATTAAAGTTCAAGCCGGAGCGTCACCTCAAAATGGAAGATGGTGGTGAAGTAGTTCTCACTGATTCAAACTTACGTTTGTTATCATTTGGTGCTGGAAGACGAAGTTGTCCAGCTGTGAAACTTGGTTCAACAATTACTACAATGTTACTTGCTAGACTTCTTCAAGAATTTACCTGGAATTTACCACCAAATTTACCATGCAATGATTTAAATGAGTCTTCTAAGATTAATCATTTTTCTGCCTTACCATTTCTTGCTCAGGCAAAACCAAGATTAGCTAAGGCCATGTATCTTTAAGCTACAATATTTTTCGTATTCATCTATCGAAGTTTTAGTGTGTGAAATTATTTTTGTTAGGATATACTATTAACCATATGGTTTACGTTATAGTATTGTCTTTTCATCCTATATATGTAAAGATTGTTATTTTGTTTACTTAATTTAATAAAGTATCATTTGAATAGATCATTGGGTAATTAAAATGTGTGTCCTTTACTTATATAGTATATATTTAGTGTATGGAGTTCCTTATCTCATAAATTGAAGACTAAAATTATCAGTTCTTATCAATCCTTGCAGACGCTTTAGTGATATTAATTATCTCTTGATCAATTTTTGCAATCTTTCTTTTCACCGAGGCTATTTCCATGTCAACCTCAATAATTCTCTCTCGTAGCATCCATTCAGTTTGGTCTAGTATTGCAAGTCTCCATTTGGCTGCAACTATCCTCTCTTTAGTCTCGATAAATTTTTTGAACATTGATTATTCAGTTTCCTCACTACTAACCAAAGCAATGGGTGGGATTGGTGCGTTGACATTTTTTCCAGACATTCTAGCAAATCGTCCTTCCTGTGATGGACGAATAAAAACTTAGGAGTTTTTTAGAGTAGACGGTTTATTATTTCTGAGCAACTTGGACAACATTTCAGAAGTAATTTGGACGGACTTTGTTGTTGTGGATTTTATTATATGCTTAAGGTGCTCTAAGAAACAAGAGTGGATTAATTCTGCTTTAAACAAAATGACACATCACAACATAAAGCAATTATATCAAGCAACACACAAACAATTTATATCGCGCCCTAGATTTGTGACCTTTTTTATGCCAGAGGTAGGCCTAAACGTCAAACATAACGTGATTATGATAGATTGATCCAAGCCATTAATTTGTGACAACTCGAGTTTGGAAAACAAAGACCAAATATTCATTAAATACCAATAAAATGGTATAACAAAGAGAGAATAAACTAAAAATACATAAAAGATGACTCAATATAAAGACAAATCTAAGACTCGGCCTAAATTTGTTATCAATCACGCTGGTGGAGGAAGTGAAGATGACGCTCCCGTGTTGCTAGGCCTTGCTCCCGCATTTTCCAAATATTGCATTATTGTTTCCATTTGTGCCCACATTTCAGGAGTGACCACTTTGGTTCCAAGATGAGAATGTCTTATCCAGATCGTCGTCCCAATATCTTCAAAACCTTGTTCGCCTTCTGGACTCATGCTATTGCGATCTTCTCGAAGCCACACTTGATATTTTGGAATTTCTCTTTCTGGCCCATTTCTTATATCTATCGTGAGAATATTGTTCCATTCATGAAGAATCTCTCTGGATCGAGGGACTTCAAAATTTGGTCCGAAGGAAATTTCAGAAACCCTCATGTTTGCTCGAAGAAGGATTACTTGTGCTTGACCAAACTGTTGAAGCACGCGCACCGGAACATATGGCTGGAGACCTTTCAACCCAATAAGCTCGATATAGTAAAACCTCATGCATTTTAAATAAGCCGGGGAACGTGATAGTAATGGATATTTTCACTGAATTTGGTTATTGGTGCAGAAGGACAGATATCTATTCCAGTCATCAGTACCAACCGGAGACACAAAATTTCTCGTCCTGTCGTAAAAACTGTCAATATGATTTGCGTTACTAAAAAATATGTCATCCATATTTTTACGCTGGTGAAAATTTTCCATTGCCCACATTTGTAAAAGAAGATTGCAACCTTCAAAGAAGTTTGCTTCCCCTCTTTTATATTTCCCAAGAGCTCGAAATATTTCTGCTAAAATCATGGGAACTAAAGTTTGTTCTTCGCCATTAACACCTTCACGAGCCACCGAACATATGTAGGTGCTAATGTGATCATGTTCTCGGGGAAATACTAAAGTCCCTAGTAAAGCCACAATAAATGCGATAGGACGTCTATCTTGCCAATGAACATAAGTGCAAGAGAATTCTTTCCTGAACACTTTGTAACTATCCGAGCGTACATACCTTTCATAAAAGTAATTTAGAGAAACCTAATTATGTTCGAAGCATCGAAGTTTCTTTTCATTTTTCAGTCCTAAGTAGCAAAGAAATTTCTTCCTTGATTGACTGTGTGGAATAATTTGACCTCTTCCTCGATACTTCAACTGGTGAAATAACAGATTTCCTCCCATGTAGGTGTTAGTTCAAACTCTTTGAACGCGAACACAACACGGTCGGAATCCTAAAACTGAATCAACGCTCTAATAACATGTTTGTCCGGGATAACCTTAAATAGCATAGTAAGGCACCCCAACCTTCTTGTAATTGCTAGTTTTTCACTTTGAGTGAAATTTTTTCACCAGGTCTTCAATTTGCGCGGGAAACCTCGACCATCTTAATTTTGTCCACTTGGGGGACTGAATTCATCCTAAAAAAATAAAATAACAAGAAGGAACACATAATTTCCAAACTCACTATATCAAAATTAGGCTTGGATCCGTCTATCATGATCACGTTGCACGAAACATACTTGTTGGTAGATTTCTTAAATGTGGAATCGATACTCGGGATCGATCCACCTAAGGTGTACGCATGTATGACTTAAATTGAGGGGTGACGTTGCTCTATCTTATGTCTTCTAAGATTTGGCTTACTAGACACAAGGTTTTCGAGTGGACAACTCGAGTGAGGAGGCTACGCGGTCACACGAAAAATGATCCGGACACCCCGCGCATATGTCAAATCTCCTAACTTTTGGGATGTTGAAAGAAATTTGCGGTTACGCAAAACACATCTCGCGCACGTGTGATTGTGTGAGTTTTCCAGAATTGGAAGAAGTATGAACGAAATTACAGTTTATAAAGCAGTAACAAATATACAATTTATATAAAGCAGTAACAAATAAACATTTTAGATAAATAATAACAAATAAGCAGTTTATATCACTTAAGTATTAAAAATAAAGTAAGCATATTATACATGTAAAAAAAGCAAACAAGTAAGCATAGGTTAAAAATCTTGATAATTAACCTAAGTCGATTATGGTTAGAACCTATTACATCTCCAGCAGAGTCGGCATTTTTCTTATGCCATAATTTCACTATATTTAGAAAAATTACTTTTGAAATGTTCTAAGTATAAAATAATTTGAGAAAAATACTTAGAAAAAGAGTCGTAACTTAATTTTTTAAAGAAATTAAGAAAACTTAATTTAAAAATACTCTAATAGATTAAGTCTTTAAAAATTTAGAGAAAAATGGGTTAAATATTCTTATTTACGTTTTAAGAAGATTTTTAAGGCATTTGAAGTGTCAGCTAACATGCGGTTATCCTACGAATTAAATTAAATATTTTGACTATCTTTAGAAAAATAATTTAACAGAAAAAAATATAATAATTTACAATATTCAGCTAACTTTGAAAAAATAGTTAAATAACAAACATTTTTTATTCTTCAAGCCAAAGGAACTTTTAATTGAAACATTTCAATTGAATTAGAAGTTACTAGAATTTTAACAAATTTACACTAACTAAACTTATTTGAATTGTTTTTAAATTTAATAATTTGAACCAATTTGATAAATTATAGCATGCGGACTATCTTAAATTAATTAAAAATGAAAAGGAACCAAAATTTTAACTAACTTTTGAGAATGTGACAGAGTAAAGAAAAACATATATTTTTTAGTTTATTTGATTAGTTTAAAACATTTTTAAAAAATGAGTAAAAAACAGTTATTAATTAAATAACATACCTTTTTAAGAACAAATATACGTAATTAAAAATATAAAAATTTGACCGGTATACTAGACATAAAATAAATGAACACAAAAAATGTTTTAAAGGTAAACAAACATAAAGAAAATAACTCATCTTTTGGGAATCTAAGAAAGTTAATTAATAGTTCTAGAGTTAAATTAAATTAGTCAGACATATTCAAAACATTTAGGAAAGTAAAAGAGATAATGAAATTGGTCCCCTTATTGGGCTAATTTTGCTGCAAGTTTTTGTGTTTTAATCCAATACCCTTTTTGTATACACCGGTTGTATATTAGTGTATATCAGCATGTGTATCATCTTTCCCCGTGTATTTCTTGCTTACGAAGACCTGTGTTTTGCTTTCGCCCTGTATTTTTGTGTATACAACCCATTTCTTGAGATTTTAGAACATTTATGAACTAATTTTCAGCAGTGGTGGGTCTCCGGGACCTTTTATTGGGGTAGCGAATTCGGACGATGATGCAACTTTCACCACGAACTTAGAGTACGAACGACAATCTTAGAAAATCCAAGCGGCGATCTTCTTGAAATTTAGAATCAGAGAACTAGATATAAAAAAAAAATTGAAATGTAGAAATGACTATTGCCAAACTCAGAAAGCTCTCTCAAACCGTTGTCTCTATCCCTTGAGCATGAAGTATTATTTATAGGGAATGTTGGGGTGATTTATGGGGGAAATCCGTTGGATTTTTGAAAGAAAAGTTTGAATTTTCCTCTGCTCATTTTCGAGATCAATAGTAAAAGGCCTGGGGGAGTCCTTCTCTGCTCTGAGACTCCGCGAAAGTGGGGGAAAAGGAGACGTGAGGGTGATGGCTCTGCAGGCGAGAAGAATGGCAAAGGTGCACTGTTGCGCCGTTTGAAATCGTTGTCGAACTGACGGGTCAAAGTTGCAGTTTTTCCGGTTTTACCGGACTGAAGCGTCTTGATTTCTGTGAAGAAGACAAGTATAGGGGTCGTAGGGTATGACTATTATTGCTATTTGTTCTTCGCGTAGGGGAGAAGAAGAAGTGAAGTGGGCTCGGGTCGGATTTTGGTACTGCTGTTGTGAGTATTTGGGAGTTGTTGATGAATGTAATTTGGGCTGCTGATTTAAATGAAAGTTGGGCTGAAAATTGGCCCAACTTTGGTCTTAAATTGATCCAATAAATGGAGCAAATATTGGTTAAAATTCAATTTTGGAAAATAACCATATAGATTACAAATTAGGCCGAGACGCCGAGTGAAGTTAAGGACATAGCCGATTTGAATTAATTGAGGGATTCGAGTAAAGTCAAATAAGACGAATTAATATAAATTAATTAATGAGCTTCTTAATCTTAACTAAATAAAATAATCAATTTTAAAATATTAACTATTAATTAATTAAACTAATTGGCAAAATTTAAAGAAAAGTTAAAACC